AGGAAAATCTTGTCAATTGTTGGCCATATCATGCAAACCTTATGAGATACAGATCTGGAGGGCACCAAATTCCTTTTTCTTGCCCTAGTTTAACATGGATACACTATCTAATGAGCCTTGAGTGATCAACTGTGTGCAGGTAGGCTTCTGTGGTAGAAGCTGTTATTTTAAGAAGCTAGATCTCAAACTCTCGCTTAGTTATAGATAGTCATCAGCAGGCCATTGAATGTAGCTTTACAATAACAACTTTAAAAATAAATGTGAGAAGGGTTTTGGTAACATACCCTGACATGACCTCCATTATGTCATTAGACTTTATTGTCGCAGAAGGGATGTCCAGCACATCCTTGAGAAACGATCCTTTCATGTGGCATCTCAGCCAACACTGCTGCAGTGCCACAATGTGCCATAATGGCAAATTCGAGGCCAGTTGCATTTTGGTTACAATCCAGCTCCAGCTTTGGAGCTGGCAAAATAAAAAGAGTCATTATTCCATAACGGCAGCATAGATCTGAGAGATTCATAGCTTCAAAACTGCTGCACCTCAGATCCCTCTTCTCCCATCAACCATGGAATGGCCAGGGAGTATGTTCCAGTTCATCAGCTGAGATGAAATGGCCAGAGATTTATGACTCTTCCCACCAACAAGTAGCTGTGTGACAATGACCCAGCAAGGGACTTTGCTTCTGCCAATCACACCACCACTTGCTACTGGGAAGGGATGGATACATCATCTTTCAACATCCTGCTCACCTGTAGCACAGAACTCCATCTCTCGAAGTGGTTGCCTGAATTTTAAGATTTTGGGGGTTGGGTCAGAACATTGTGTTGAATGTAGAATTTCTGTATATGTTTACTATATGAGAAAATACACTTCTGTTAGTACATGATTGTCTTCATCTATGTATGTATCGTAAGCTTATTATACAAGTCTCATTGTGAAGGCACATCTTTCTGAGGAAAATCTCATTGTTGAGGAACAAATGAGCTAATCACAAGAAACGTGTTTTCTTTCACATTTTATATAGCAATGCACTTTCTCTCCTTTGCCATAATAAGCCATGGATTTGCTTTCCAAACATAGATGCCAGCAAACTTATATTTAATACAGGTTTGTCTTAATGTACATGTAACCTGACAAGGGTTTCTCTTGAAGAAAAAGATCTGTAACAAATGCTTGAAAAAAAATTATTTTATTTTCTTTAAAAATACAGTACACAGCAGCATGTCTCTTCCCCACCCTGTTACTGCTGATTCACAAAGAGATAACATGATCAGTTAAACCCAAATACTAGGCTGTTATAAATCCTGAGAGACAGACTCAGTTACATGCTGTTTTACGTAAGACAATATGTTGAAAAAGAATAGTCTTTCTTTTAACATAAAAGAGTCTCTTCCTGAATTTATGAATCAGATATAAAACCTGCAGAATTGCTGTACTGCAATAACCAATTGAGGATTTCTCTGAAATCCTCACTGTGAACAATTTCACATAAGGTGGATCCTAAATAGCTAGACCAAGAAACGCAAACATACCACACATGGTGAGCATATGGGATATGCTATGATTTATCAGACATGATTGATTGTTTAACAAATGATAGATGTAACACGCATTACACTACCATAGTTAAGGGCTCAATTCTTTCCTTTCCATGAACACTGTTCTTTTTAAAATCTATTTTCATTTTTAAATAATACAGAATATATTTTCATTTTTGATTAACATCTGTTTTAGCTGCCTCTGATTCCAAAGGAGCACAGACAGTGGTGGCTGAGAGCGTCATGCCACTCCAAGTTTTGGTTACCTTCCAAGGCACTCTTCAAGGTGCTGAACCTGTTTTGAAGATTATAGTTGAGAACAATGAACAGGTTTTTCAAAATCTGGAATAAATGTTGAATGGAGTATTTGCTGAACTAAGATGGGTGTCACCAACTGTTGGACAAAGGAAGGGACAACTGGAAGTACAGAATTTATACTATCCTGAGAAACAAGATAAATTATTCCTTTCAGACTGGCCCTAATAAATTAAATACTGCCATTCAAACTGCCAAGTCCTTCCCATCCATGGCGTGAAACAGATCCAAAAGTGCATCGGATCCCTGAAAGAAACATTATATAGAAATTGACTAAGAAGTCAAGCTGTATGATCAACAAAACCCCATGGGATAACATGGAATTCTTGCTGGTCTTTCCATGCTGCAAAGAGGGCAATGCCATTTGAGATAGATCATTACAAGAAACATTTTTCCCACATGTAGGAAGCTAACAAATCATAAATTGTGACATTTTTTTCTTGGTGTTATTTGCATGGATATTTTATTTTTCTAAAGGAGAGTAGGAAAGGCAGTCCTGCAGCCAATATCCATGTTGCATAAAATCTCAAAGGGGGTGTGTCATGCAATTCAGATGGCTGTGTAAATTCTGTCTTCTGTTGATTAAGGCAGGATTTAAATCAGGAAACATTTGGCCCTCAACTCTTAAGTTTCCTAGCCAGCATTCACAACATAGGGTATTACAAACATACTAGTCCAGACTATTTAAGGGCCGAAGATTCCCCTTTGATTTCATGGATTATTCTATTTTGATGACAATGGCATAATTTTGCTGAAGCAAGACATCATATTCACTGTATTCTTAAAGAACTGGCAAATTGACATAAGCTATAATAGAATGTGTTTTATACTTTTCTGTCTTGCTGCAAAACACAGTGAAGTACAGGTCACCTGGGCAGACCTTGGTCAGCTGATTATCAAATATGTCACAGTCTTTCTTGGCTTTTGCCCTCTCTATCTGTACATAAATTGTAGAAATTGTAGTAGTATAAAAAGATGGCTTTGGCCAAAATCAATGTATTTGTTCAAAATGATTAATGGAAAAAAATTCCAATCTGACACATCGGGGGGAAATAGCATTAGCTGAGATTCGATATTGCCAAAAATTATGTGTAATTTTATATACCTGTAAAAAAATAGTAGATGCCCAATGAAACCATGTTAGTTTATTGCAAAGATTCCTAACCGGGCAACAGCCAAAGAGCCCTAGTATGCAATGGATGTCAATTTGGTTCCAGGTACAATGAACATTAGTAACTCTTGTAGGTACTGTTGTGCAGCCGTCACTATCACATGGCAAAGCAATCCCTTGGTGAACAGCTCAATTCTTCTTCCCTCATACACAAGCATGCTTATGTTGACACAAGTCCCCAACAGAATGCCAAATGTCATATGAAAATATCTATCTCCAGTTCTGGACTATCATGGCTAATCAGGTCACAGATTGTTGATTTATAGATTTTTTCTAGTCACACAGTGTGAAAAAGTCATTAATGTTTGTGATTAGAGAGGGGGGAATGTGTACAAAATTGTCCACTAGGCCCTCTCTTAACACCTCTTTTTTATCTTCTTATTCTCCCCATATACTTTACTAGCATATTCAAAATAATTCCTGAGATATAGAATATATAACTGGAAGGATGACAATACTTTGGTTAAATCTCTTAGCATTTCAAAGATCACTTCTTGCGAGTCCTTTGAAAATTACATGCACCACCAGAATCATCACTCTCTTTCTCTGGCACCTCATGTAGAAGAAATTTGTGGAGACAACAGGTTATACTTTGCCTACAGCTGTAGTTGACAGATAATGTGATATGGTTGTTATTTACAAACCAAAGTCCCATTTTGAAGAATGATTTCACTTATCTAGAATGATCCTCACACTCTAGGTCAGAGCCAACAATACAGGAAGTTTGGCTAGAGAACATGTTCCATTAGTCGAAGAGATGTACAAGAATATTGGGCCCTCTCATAAAAATTAGGGATTACAACTGATGATGCCCCCGCCCCCAGAAATGCCTCAACCAAAGCATTTCTGAGGCACTGGAAATTGAGATGCTGGGAAATAACAAACACCGCAACTCTGGGTTGAAAGGTGCCTTGAGAATAGGTAGCTTAGAGACCACTTCGGGTCCTGCAACAACTGCTTGTCCCAAGGCACCCTGAAGTTAGTAGTATTCTGTGGACCCTTTCCTTGCATTATGATCTCCATTGCCTTGAAAACATTTAGATCAGATGACTGCCAGGCTGAGAAATTAGGTTTTCAGAGAATTTTCTGTTGTTCATTATTCTAAATATGAATCCTCATTAGTTAGGACGTTGTAAGCTTAGCTTCCATCTGGGTCACAACCTGCCCGTGGCAATGGCTCCTCCTTTTCTGAGGTAGAGAATAATGGTGGGAGGATATCAGGCTGACAGAGAAAGAGAAGGGTCTGGAGAGAGGAGAGGCCACTACCATAGGGTAGTGTTCCATTAGATATAAATAGGACACTTGATTCTTACAAATCATGAGCCACCATCTCCCCTAAAGCCACATTCCCATGCTCTAGGAGACTCTGGTATTCTAGTAATGCAGAGGCTGAGGGTTTGGAGACATATGGAGCATTTACACTGTAGAATTAATACAGTTTGACACTGCTAAAACTGCCATGACTCAATGCTATGGAATCACAGGATTTCAATTTTTACAAGTCCTTTAACTTTCTCTACCAAAGGGTGTTGTTGCCACATCAAACTACAAATCCCAGAATTTGAAAGCATTGTGTCATGGCAGTTAAAGAAGTATCTGCAGTCTAACTGAGGGTAGTGATAGTTGTCTCAATACAGCCCATATTTTCTGTGTATATGGATTTATCAGACTGCATTTTAGATCCCTGTTCTCAGCAGTGTAGATCCACTCTTACTTGTGTCACACTACGATGACATTAGATTTAGATACATCACCATTAAGTTCTCAATAGCTTTACTCCAGAACCTATACCTAACTGCAAAGTGGAACTCTCACAACCTCCTATACGAAGAACACTAAACAGAGTAGGGCCATTCATCTTATTGAGGAACTTTGATGGCTAACCCTCTTCTTTCCCTGAAGAACTTTATTTTCCTAAGTTGAGAAAGATTCTTAGTGACAACCATTTCAATGTAAGGAATGAAGACAATGCTTTAAAAAAAAAGGAGGGAGGGAGGGAGAAAGATGGAGGTCACTTGTGCTGGGATTCTAGCCCATTGTAATCACTGCTTCCAATACATGAGAGAATCCAGGGCCTTAAGGTCATTTTTGGAAATGGGTCTTTGGCTATGCCACATTAATGTTCAAGTACCATCAATGGATAGCAATTATTTTACTTTGATATCACAAAGTAGTAGGAGGAACAATTCCACCCTATATGAATATGCCAGGACTAAGAATGGAGCCATTAACCTTTAATGAGAGAGTGTTAATCATTAAAATAATAGGATATCCCAATGCCTAAGTGTTCTCATTTCTAATCTTAACTACAGGCTACACTGAAGACATCCAAAAACTACAAAATCAACTATTCAATCACATGAAGTCAGGAAAAATTCCAAATAAATAATCTGTTTCAAAATTATGATACAATACTCATTACAGTATAAATTGGCATGTTTTTCTCCAAAAGCAGAAGCACCAGTCTTAAGATATAAATGTGGTATGTGAAATGCATCTAATATGAAGTGCAAATAGTATTTTAATACTGGGTGTCATTTTTTATATAAAAAAGGTGTGTACACTGAAATCTGTTTGAATGGGAACAAATGACATGCTGAATTTTTAAAAATTCTATAAAGAAAAGTCCAGCATAATTAGATTTAATGGTATACTGTCAGATACTTACATGGCTAAGTAAAAAACAAAACAATAAATATCCCCCAGAGAAGGGAAACCATATATTTATGTGACGTGCCCAAGTACACTCCTTCCTAATATTTTCCCCCATCCTTGATCCCTAAATGGTGCAATGCTTTTTGTTGGAAAATACTCTTTGATATTTCAGGCATATTCTTCATAGGCTGCTGTAAATTTTAATGCTGCTAAATCTGGTCATCAAACCAGATGAAGTTTTTTTTTTCTGGTTTATATTCAAAACATTATCAGTTATTATGAGTGAACTGTGAAAAGAGATGACGTCCAATGGAGCGAATAGACCTCAGTTTCGACATCATGTGACTTCTGCAAAGGCCGTGATGTGGTTCTACAAAAATTGAGAAAACATAGAGAAGAAAACAGTCAGAAGTCTGTACCTGCAAGAACAATATATTTCTCCCAGTTGATTCCCCTTAACAACAACATGCTCCCCATCATGTAGTTTGGATGGGATGTGCCTATACTTCTTCAGAATATTGTTGCATTATGATAGTACAACCATCCATACCTGCTGCAAGTCTCATAAACTTTATAAAAGACTTCATATATTTTAGAGTCTAAATGCATTTGTGGGGTAATGCAAATGTGTGGGAAGGAAAAGAGGGGGAAAGGGGTGCTTTTGGGATAGATGGAGATAAAGGGAAGGATACTTATCCATCTCACAGTTACCAGCCCTTTCAGATGCCCCATGGTGTTTCCTACAATTGTTTCCCTTATGTCCAGAATGGCACCCAGTTGTTGAGACTGTCTGATGAGTCAGAATAGTTTATTGTAACTATCAAACCTGTGAATTGTTTTCAGGGTCGAATCATCAGGAATGCAAGGGATGAAGCAGCTTCCCATTTACCAATGCCTTGTCTCCCTCTGCCCCCCCCCCCACCCCTGGGGGGTGTTGAAAATAGCAACCTTCTACAAGCCTCCACTAGTTATTTGTTATGTATATAATTCGGATTGCTTACTGTATTGTGTATATGTGTATTGGTATGCAGTTTTCCTTAACTCTATCTTGTAGGAGGGGCTGCAGACCATGTGATCATATCTGGGACTTGTTCAGCTCAGACTCCATTTAGATCTCAGACTCCATTGGACTTTCAGACTAGACAGAGATTCTATTAGACTCTCACACCAGACAAATGCTTTAGACTTTGGGCTGCTGATTATAAGAACAATGCCCTGTGCTTTCTACACAGAGAAACTACTTCAAATCCTATCTGTAACTGTACTGATAAGCAATGTACCTGGGTGCTGAATACATGAAGTTTGTGAGTAAACCAACTATGATATTTTTAAAGAAGTCTACTTATTTGCCTCTTGAGAGCATGATTTAAACCAAGATGTTTTAAGGGAGAGTAGATATTTTTGTTCAACTGAAAGAACATTTCTGAAACTCAGATAGATAGATACTGTAGATAGATAGATAGATAGATAGATAGATAGATAGATAGATAGATAGATAGATATAGTAGGGCTGGGTAACCACAGAAAAATTTGTTTCTAAACTCGATTCGTTTCCAGGGGGCCCTAGCGTTTCCAAATTCTAAATACTTCCAAAATTTTGAGATTTCAAAATTTCGTTATTTACGAAATTTCATTAATTTTGAATCGATTCGTTAATGACGGACGCGATTGTGCAATATGCTAAAAAAAACCTCCAAATGGGACAGGGGGAACTTCTGAAGCTTCCCTCTCCCTCTGTTGTAGACTGTTGGTGTGATAATTTATTTTTTTATCACTGATAAAACAAACAACAACTATAAAACTTGCACCAGACATACGGAAATAATTACGAAACAATTACGAAACAATTTTGAACCAATTACGAAACAATTACGAAACAATACGAAATAAATTGGAAAAATTGTTTCGATTTTTAATTACTCCTCACACTATTCCTGCATGGCTCAATATTGGATCGTACGCTAATTTAAATACGAATTAATAACGAATTACGAAATTAACGAACGAAACAGCCCTAATAGATAGATAGATAGATAGGGCATTGGCATATCTTTATCCCTAACAGTTCGAAGAGATATATAGGTATATCCGGTTCACAGCTGAGAAACTGACTTGCATGAATGCTAAATCATGCATTAATGCACTAAGGAGAAGGTTGACTCCAGAGAGTATTTAACTCTTCTCAGGGAGATTCCTGATTTTTCCAAAATGGTGGTGAATGCCAATTTTTAAAAAGGTTATGGAGATTTCTATTTCCCAAAAGGTTATGATTTTTATCAAGGAGGTCATGCCTTTCCAAAGATCATAATTTCTCCAAAATTTAATCCTATCCTTAGTCCATTGTGCATTTTTATATACATTTCCTGAACATGAAATTCTAAGCAGGTAATTTGGATGCAATTCAGCAAGCATCTCAAGAGCTAATGATCATCCAAGAACCAAATGGTACCGATTTTCATGGTATATCATACTGTATTTCTCTCCTAATTCTGTTTTAATTCTGCATTTACTTATTCATTTTTTTTTAAAAAATCACAGGCCTGGAATGAAAAATATTTTTCAGTATTGTAACTTTTTAAATGCATTTTGGGATGCTGATTTTTTAAAAAAGTTGTATCACACCCAGTTCTTTCACAAATTTCATTACTAATTACATCCTGTCACATAAACGTCCAAGCAAACTGTAAAATAACTGTACATGATGGAGCAAATCTTATATTACTTTTGGATTTAGACTACCAAATTCTTATAAAACCAGTTACATTAAAAAAAAACATTTTTATGACTTCCACTGTTGCAGGCCTGTGCTGCACAGTACAGAATGAAATATTAAAATGTCAAATATGACAGTACATATTAAAAAATTCAGTCCTCTATATTTATGCTACTCTTTCTTCAGATTCAAAAGGATGGTTTCACCTCTCTTCTTAGTGCACATTTCCACAAAAAAGTCCACAAAACATTGCAACCCTCATATTTCAAAAACACTGTGGATGTCAAATTAGTTGAAGCTCAGAATCAATTGACAAGACAGTGCTCAGTGGCAAGCATGTTATCTACTTTCTTAATCTAGAAGAATATAAGATCACTTTCCCAAGATAGTGAGCACCCATGGAAATATAGCATATTTCCCAAATATCTGAATTTCACTTAAAATGCTAGGATAAGGTAGTTTTAACTAATTTATGTCCCATAAATTTAAATGGAGATGTATGATTGACTATTTTTGATTGGGTCAGGGTCTCTTGGAGACTTCTAAACTGTGTTGGCAGTACACATTGAAAGGAAGGGTGGAGAGCTTTGCCTTTATATCAAATCACAGAACCAAATATATAAGCAAATTATATGTGTGTGCAACTATACAAACAAGTCTGCACAGAGGCTGATGACTGTGAACAGAACCCTGTCTGTATAACCAGGGATGATGTGCTGTGATTTTCAACACTCTATGTATTAAATTAAGTATGGGCCTCATCCCCCATGCTGATTTGCCAGCCTCCATGGTGAATCAGCGGGGCAGTGGAACAATCCCGGCACCCAGCCTGGTTGGCAGGAACACTTCCCCATCATACACGGGAAAGTGTCCCTGCTGTAGCCCCATTGTTCCAAATAGAACAGGGGGAGGCTCATGGGGAGGCTCACATATCGGTGGTGCAGTATCTTATCATGCTGCTGCCACAGGTGAGCCATGGAGCCTGCCAGAAGTAAAGCGACATTGTGTGATGGGCGGCGTGGGTTCTGTCACTAAACTGAGGCAGCAGCATCCCAGAATGCTAAAAATGTTGAAAGACTTACAACAGAGATGAAACCCTTATGTTCTTGGTCTTTTATGCCTATAATCCCTCAGCACTGGTTATATTGATGACGCGTGATGGAAGTATAAATTAAAAATGGGACTTTCTTGGCAAGATTTGTTCAAAGCTTTGCCTTTGTCTTTCTCTGAGTTTGGGAGAGTATGACCTACCCAAGGTGTCCCAATAGGTTTGCATGGCTGAGCAGGGATTTGCATCCTGTTCTCCAGAGTTGTACTCCAACACTCAGATCACTATGCTGCTCTTAGCCATCTTAGCCATTATGAACCATATATACATATTCTTCAGGGTCTTTAGATACAGCAGCTTCCTCAAACATAGTCTTCTCACATGCACTGGTCTGCAATTTATACTACCTCCTGTCAACCTGAGCAACTGTCAGGGATGATGGTGGTGGTAGGCTCAAACATCTTGGGCAACTTGAGTTAGAAAGACTCAGTTATAAAAAGGAAAGTTAATCACATGTAACACTGGTTGACAAGGATTATGAAGTCCAAGGACTGCCCAGACATGTTCTGAATTATATCCAACTTGCTTCCTTTTGCTGCATCAGTAGCTAAATGCAATTTGCTTGTTGGCCTTCAAGCTTAGCTCCTCTAGTTTTGAACTGAGATTATTGACCCTGAACTGGAAAAGTTTACATTTTCCTCATTTAAACTTTGCTCTTATTGCCCTTTGCTTCATCTTGGCCTAACAATTGCAATGGGTGGGTTATGTATGGTTTTGATAATACATATTGCAAATGTTCCTCAATTCCCATGAAGATAAGGACCATTTCAGTCTTTTTAAAGACTATTTCAGACAATAGTCAATCATACAACCATCCCACATGTTATGAGCATGATTCCCAGAAGCTATTTTGTATTGGCATCAGTTGAACTTTCTCAGTGTTCCAAAGGATTGAAAAACTCTGGTAACCAAACCCTTAAGTGTCTCTAAACTGGGGTAATGCTGAGAGAAGGATACAAGTAATCTGTCTTTAAGTCAGTCATTACTCCCTCAGCTACTGAGTCAAATAAGATTCCAGATATGTTATATTGCTGTTGATGAAAATGGGAGGCTAATGAGACCAAGGAAGGATTGAGTGGGAAGAGCCATACACGTCTTCTCTTCACTGTGGTAGATTGCCAAAGTGAAAACTGGAGATGCTCTCCTGTACTAATGGTTGCACATGAAAGAGAATTTCATCAGGTATTGCTTATTATTTGGCTAGCTGGAATTTCCTCTTCTATTAAAGGTATAGGTGCCCTCTCTGGTTTTAAGGATTTATGTGTTTTATGTCTGTGTTGCAAAGTGGCAACTCCTCATTTTGCAAAATTCTTTTACTGTGAATTTCTGCCCATGAAATCTTTATCAACTGCTTAATATTCTATCATTCAGACACACCAGACAAACTAAAACACCATGCAGAGGGGGAAAGCATCTATTCACAAACTCTAAAATATATGTTCGCTTTGTTGCTCTCAAAGCTCACAATTAGTTCGCTTCAGCATATGTATTTTTTGGCTTTGTACAGAGCAGCAAATAAGGTTGTTGCTATTCTCAACATCTCATTCGC